TCAGCAGTGTACTTCATTGATCTGCCTGTTCTGCTCCCCACTCTGTCTCTGGTGAATCCTCTCACTACCCCTGCACTTCTGGCCTGTACCCCAGTTCTGTATGCATAAATAAAATAAATCTTTTTAAAAAATTGTTTATCAGTATATCTGGTACACACAAGTAACCAATCAATGTTAATCATACTATGAGAAGAATGTCAGCTTAACATTCAGAGTCAAGATAAGGACTCACCCAGAAAGAAACAGACTTTGTACCCAAATATTGCTCTTTCTTCCACATTTGAATCCCTATCATGTGACACACAAGTAGCTACTCAGATCTTTGCCGAACAGATCATGGCTAAGACAAGAGAAGAGAACCGTGAAAAGAATCTGGTGTTGGCACCGTTGGGTTACTCTACCTTAAGATTTGAAGTCCCAGGGGATGTTGTGGGAACTTCAGGAATGCTTCTAGCCTAAATAAACCTTGTTAGAAATGGGGTAGGAGCAAGAGTGTTATATATTAGTCCCAGGGCCTCCCTGGGGGTTCTGAGACTCTCAGGGGAATTTCAGTTCAATCTCAGTTCCTTCTTCTCTCCTGCCCTCTCCCACAGTGCCTCTGGAGAATGTTCTAGCGACGGGAACTCCCCGTGACCAACCTGCTCTTTCATGAGGCTTCTGGGGGCTGGGTACCCACTCAAACACCACCTTCTGCATGAAGCACTTCCTGTTTGCCCATGTCTCTCTTCTTCTTGCACTTATTGTCCTGGTCCAGCCACTAGCTTTGCATCATGTCCCCTGGGAACCATAAGTCTCTGAGAGCAAAGTCTGCTCTGGCTCCTGTTTTATCAGTGCAATGAGATGTACACAAGTTCCAAAGTAATGACTGTTCTATAGCATTCTACTAAAGCTGGAGTGGGCTTACAGCCTATGTCTTTGAGCTGAGGTAAAGCCCCAGCCTTCTCCTAAACTAAGGTGCACTCCTGATCCCCAGAGGTTTAAGATACAAACTTCTATTTCTATGGGAGAACATAGCCTCATTCTTTCAAAGTTCTGTTTGACTAAGTTGGAAGTTCCCAGCAATGCATTCTAAAAGCAAAAGATAACGGCAACAATAATAATTAAACAAACAAAAATTTAATTAATTAAATTCAATTTTAAAAGCCAGCAGAGATCCTGAAGAAAATATTTAGGGGGTAGGGGTTGCCATTCAACTTTTTCCTCTCTATAATTTACAGTTCATTTTTTACATCACCCAGCTATTACACAGGAGCATGATGGAAATTCAATATCTGTAACAGCAAGAAACAATCTGAAAGAACTCCAACTCTATTAGCAAATAATTTAAATTTTGTTTAGTAGTCATATAAAATTATTAAATCAATCATTTTGTTCCATACCCAGTTATTTTAAATCATGAAATGTGTACAAAATTGTAAATTTGTCCTTCTTAATCATCATTACCACACTGTTTGCTAAAGTACTTAGCCAAAAATAGTTTTTCTGGAAATTATTCTGAATTATTTAATTATTTTTAGTTGAAATAACATCTGAGGCAAAGCAGCTCAGCAATCTTTTCTCACTTGACCTGGATAAAAAAAAATTACCCTTTCAGTTTCATCAACGTGTCTTTCATGACTTGAACCTCATTCTACTTGAAGAATGCGAAAGTGTCTCCTCTTCACATAGCTTTTCACAAATGCAGTTAATTTCCTGAGCCCTTCAGCCATGCCCTCTCCAGTGAGGGCACAGCAAGGCTGTACATACCAGCTCCGGTCACTGAGAGCTTCTCTACTTTAAACATTCTGGTGATGTCCTTGGCAGTCAGAGCTCCAGGCATATCTTGTTTGTTGGCTAATAGGACAACAGGCACACCTTTAATGTGTTTGTTCTTCAAAATGTGTTCAAACTCTCTTCTGGAATCTTCTAGTCATTGCTTATCTGTACTATCCACAACATACAGCAACACATCAGTGTTCTCACAGTAATAGTCCCAAACACCTCTCATTTTCTCCTGTCCTCCAACATCCCAGATTGTGGTGGAAGATTCTTTTCCAGCTCAATCAGCTCCACATTGAAACCAATTGTTGGTCTGGTCACAATATCTTTAGCAAACTATAATGAATAAAGGAGAGTAGACTTCCCCGCAGAGTCCAGTCCCAGCAGAAGAATTCGAGCTTCCTGGACTTTACTTTTGGAACTCAATAGACCCATTTTCAGGTCTTTTTTTTTTTTTAATTTAAAGACTTATTCTTTTGATGAGGCAGTTTCTTTAGACCTTGCATGAAATTGTTAAGATGGAAGAAGAGAGCCAATGCTTTATGTTAGATTGTTAGATTCTAAACTTGCATGTGTTTCTGTTGTGGCTTATCAACTTGATTGTAGGTAGTGTCTTATCTGCAGTCCAGCCAGTGCTGAGGAATCTGTGGTTTGAGTAACTAGGCTATGTCAAAGTAGCTCAGGGGGATAGTCCCTGTGAAGGAGTAGGACTTAGAAGTAGCTAACCTGGGAAAGGCTGCAGTTATTTCCTTCCAGGTGGAAGCCTAGAGGTGATCATAAAAAACTCAGACAGGCATAAGAAGGTGGTTAGATAGCAGAATAAAAACTAAATTTTACAAGTGATTTAAACATTTACTCTATCCCAGCTGTAAATGAGTAACTAGACTTCTGAAGTCACAAGAGTTATCTCGCATGTTCCTAAGCAATAATTTCGGGACCTTCCCCTTATCCATATTACTCATAGGAAACATTAAACCACCTGAGGTAATGTGAGCCTTTCTACCATAATCATATACTCACTCCTTTAGTAATCATCTAATCAAGAAATTTATATTATTCCCCAGATGAAGTATATAGGAGTGGGAGAAGAGGGGATGTTTATAACACAAAAGCTTTTAAAATCATACAGCCTGACTAAAATGGCTAATTGAATACATGTCTTTTCTTTTTCAAGACAGAGGAGAGTTCATCTGAAAGTGAGAGTGCTTTTAAATTCTGGAAGATGGGAAATAGATGGAAGATGAGTGGAAACTGATGTAGCACAATGTAGCTTAGGCTTGGTGTGCTGATACACCAGTTACAGAGAGAAGGAGTGAAATGAGGGGCTTCACTGAAAGTCTGAATATGGAACAGAAAACACACACACACATACACATTTCTGCTATGTATTCACTAAGCAACAAGATGTTACTACTCAGGCAAAAGCCTGAATGGTTCTATTCTAAAGAAATTGAGTGATGTCAGAAAAGACCTCGGATTATGACAGTTGGGAGTTCCCACCTCATAATGTCAAAGTCTACCTTTAATTACCCTGTAGTCAACCTGGCAATTGGCAAACCTTATTCATGTACACAGTTTCATTCACCTTTTAAGTGTACAAAAGGTTTCTATATCTAACATGTCTTTAATGTGAATGAAAGACCATTATAAAAATAAGGTTTTAAGAAAGCTTAAACTGAGGTAGAAAATGGAAGAAATTTTTCAGTAAGCTCTAATTAATATTGCCATAGTGATTTGAAAATACTGAATCCATAAGAAAAGAAATAGATGCTATTAAAAAGGATACTCAGAAGCAAATACAGAACTCTTAAAAATTAAAAAGATAATTTTCAAAGTTTAAAAAAGATTGATAAGTTTTGGGGGCAACCTTTCAGAAAGTAGCATAGAAAATGTGAAAGAAAAGAGATGCAGACGATCAGTCGAGACATGTCAACATCTGACATATGGGACTCTTTCAGAGAGAACAAAAGATATACAAATGAGGGAATTATCAAAGGAACAATTTCAAACTATTTTCCAAGGCTAAAGAATTGTCAAAATTGAAAGTTCTCTTTCAATACTTAGCGAGTTCATATTTTAAAGAGATATATACTAAGGCTTATACATATTTGATTTTTACTTAAAGCTAAAATTTTATTTATTTATTTTTTTTAAAGATGTATTTATTTGTGCATACAGAACTGGGGTACAGTCCAGAGGCTCAGGGGCGGTGAGAGGCTTCACCAGAGACAGAGTGGGGAACAGAACAGGCAGATCGACGAAGTACACTGCTGAGGGGAGCAGTGGGCGGGTCAGGAGAGGTCTGCCACGCCATGTGGTCTCCTCCGGGGCAGGCGGGAATCGAACTCATGCGGAAGCGGCTTTAGATTCTCAGTGCTGTGCTTTAACCCGCTGCGCCACCAGGGAGGGCCTAAAATTTTATTTTTTTTAAAAATTAAACACACTAGGCACTCCCTGGTGGTACAACAGGTTAGGACACAGAACTGCAAGCTGGCCACAGCCGTTTCTGTGTGAGTTTGGTCCCCAGCCCTGGAGGTGACCCACATGGTGCAGCAGACCTCTCCTGGGCCCGCCCACTGCTCCCCTCAGCAGTGTACTTCATTGATCTGCCTGTTCTGCTCCCCACTCTGTCTCTGGTGAATCTTCTCACTGCCTCTGTGCCTGCCTCTGGCCTGTACCCCAGTTCTGTATGTCTATATAAATAACTAAATCTTTAAAAAAAAATTAAACAGACTATTCTGGGAGCAGAAAACATATGTATTAAGAAGTAAGTAAACTTTAAAAGGAAACCATTACATTCTTAAATTATCTTAGAAACCAGAGATAATGTTTTCATGCATTTGTTCACCCATTCAATCATTACCTATTAATATGCTAATAATATAAAAAGTCACATATATATAACAGATAGCTATTAATTTCCTATCACCATGAGCTACATTCTAGGTTGGTCACAGAGATAAATTAGATCTGCCTTAGGTAACTTTCATTGGGGAAGAGGTAAAAGATATATGAACAAAGAAAAATAATTCAAAGTTGAAAGAAAAGTAAATAAAAAACAAAAATGAAGTATTCTGGATACTAGAAGATGATTTCAGGATGGAGGACATCAGGGAAATAATCTAGAGCAGGTTCAGTGTTAGACTGGACTATGAGATGCAGTGGGGGAAGAGCGTTTATTAAAGAAATGGTCTGTGTGAGCAAGGTCCCAGAAGACTTAAGCTATCTATATCTGGGAAAGTGGCAGGAATGCACGACTCATGTACATAGTCTTTTTCTATAAACATGTTTAAATCTCATGAGAAAATAATCAATCAAATAGAGCTTGTAGGACTTGCTACCAGGCAAGAGACCTACAGTCTTCAAAAAACACCCATGTCACGAAAGACAGAAGTGAGGGAAAAAAGGGATAGGTGGGAAAATGTTTCTAAAGTACAAGACACATGATTCTTAAATGCATTGTGTGGTCTTTGATTAGATCTGTTGTAAAAATAAAAAGAAGATTAAAAAAATTATGGCATGTGGGGTTATAAACTACATATATAGTTTATAATTTGAGTTATAAACTATATATTAAAAGGTGCTATTTAAAATGTGAGTGGGATGATAGCATATTCCCACTCACATTTGCATATGATGCCCATATTCCAGAGTTACATGCTAAAATACATAGTGGTAATATCAGCAAATTAATTTAAGTTGTTCTGCAAACACATATGCCTACGTGCATATACAGAAAGCGATGCAGAACAGAAGCATTGCAGAAGTCAACAACTGGTAGATTTAGGTGAGGAGTATTCGATGCTCATTGTATTTTTTTTTAACTCTCCAGCAGGTTTGGATTTTTCAAAATAACTTTGAAAAACATGTAAGTGAAATAAGCTAATCAAATTAGACAGCAGTCTGTGGAAATATAGAAAAATATTAGCTTATATGTGTGGTAACCCTGTATTGCTAAAGAAGAATTTAGGGATTCTGATCACTCTCACTTGAGCTCTTCCTCCTTCAACATTTTCAGTAAATTAAATTTGAAAAGAAAAAGTTTCACATTTATTTCTTATGAAATTTGATATGACATTCTTAATGAGATTGACTATCAGTAGTGGGAATATACACTATTTTGGCTATCATGAAGATGATCAGACCTACATGACTTCACTCTGTTTTCCATTTGACTAACTATACTTTCTTTTCAGAATAGCCAAGCAAATAAAGGGTTAAATTCTGAATGAATATTATATCCAAATGAAGATACCACTCTTTTTTTTTTTTGAAACACAGTAAAATAATTTGTTTAGCAATGTTAACTTTCATGAAAAAGTCTATCAGTGTTTCAACATCCTTTCCTATTGCTCTACAATATTTATGGCTTCATTTTCCCAACCATTCCTGAAAGATGGCAAGGTATTTGTTTTCTGTAAATCACTCTAACATTATGCCAATAAAGGTAGGGTTGTGGGAGAGGTCCTGTTAGACTTTGTGGTGTCAGAGAAAACTTGCTTTAAAATAAAGGAGTGAAAGAAACATCTTTAATTTCATTCCATGGAGGTGGGAGGCAAAACGTTCTAAACTAGAAATTTGACCATGTGCTGAACAAGATATAGAAACTTATCACTTGGAAGTAAGTGGTAACTTATCCCACTATCTTTATTTTTCACAGATAAAGAAGAAAGAACAGGTTGTGTGATTTGCTTAGCATATGCAAACTTGGAACAGCCCCTGTTTTCCTACAATAACTTTTTATTGGTATTTTCAAAAATAAGTGCTTGGAAAATTGAAGTGTAGCATATATATAGAAAAATATAAAAATCATAAATGTGCTGTTCAGTGAATTACCACAAATTGAAAACATTCATATAACCACCACTGAGACCAGGCTTAATTTTCAATTTTCAGGTTTTGTTGCAAGTGAAAACTTCAGACTTCATGTTTCTACATTATATTGTCAGAAACACATTCTTCACAAACATAAAAAATGAACAGCAGGCTTTTGTTATCCTAGACTAGATTATTTGATGTGAAGAATGCTATATTACAACTGTGAAACTTTCCAAGGGCTATTTTCTCCATGATAGAACCAATACCTTCATCCACATTAACAAAAGTTGAGGTTTTTTTTCCACACAGATAAATCACTGGACCTGAATTCAAATCTAACCTCTTTTACTTTCTAAGTGTTTAATGGTGATTTTTTTAAAAAGGAAAAATCTATTACAAGAAACATGAAAGCATCACAAAATTTGGCACATGATTGATGCAAATATTTTTCCTTTCCTCTTGCAGGGCTTGCGTATTAGCTAGCATTAAAAATACCTTCAATTTTTAATCTTTTCTAGATGAAAAATGATTTGGTTATTACCATAAGATTATCCCCTTGACAGAATAAACCACTTATGCTGGACTTCTTCTCTACTTCCCCAACATTTTTATTCCCATCCCAAATACAATTAAAATGAACAAGGAGACAATACAACAGCAGAGGGGTCATCTGCAGGTTCTGTTTGGAGAGGCAGTCATAAACCTTTGCCTTGGTGAAGATGGAAATTTATATAAGGACAGAGGATTCAATTGGTCTTTAGCCCCACCTGCATACCAAGCTCTCAAAATCCTCTGAGAGTTTGTTCAGTCAGCAGCCAGGAGACCTGAAAGAACTGGTTAGCCAATCTGATCACATTAACTTTATTGGTTCTCTTTCACTTCAGTGAAATAATGATTCAAAGCATAGGTTGGCATAGGTCTC